GGTCGCGGGGGTCAAGGGGTTGCCCCCGAAAGAAATTCTGATTTTCGTGTATATAATGAAGTTGTGTTTTTTAGTGGGGTTAGAAAATGTGATAAGAGGCTTTATCATTTTTACATATTAAAATATAGAAAAAAAAGAAAGAAAAAAAATTCTACACACCATTTTCAATTGATCCTTCGTATTTTTTCTCTCTCTCCACAACCTAATTGTGTTTGGGACAATTTTAGAAAATGTATCTCATTGTTCAAAAATAAAAAAAATTGTCTTCGTGCATGTGGCACGGAGACACAAGGCCGTGTCTCCGCGAGAACTCTGTCTCCGTTCGCAACACGGAGAGACAAGGCCTGCACGGAGACACAACACATCTCCGCGCGCACGCATGGAGACACAGCACATCTCCGCGCATTCGCACGGTGACACGTTCTCGTGCCTCCGTGCGCGCGCACGGAGACATAAGTCATTGTCACTTTATTCTCATGGCACGGAGGCACATTTAGACACAGGTTTTTGTCACTTTATGGGCACCTCAACTTTGCCCAATCACTACATGACGCCCTTCACTAATTGAAACAATCAAAACTTTAGTCAGCTACAATTTTGATAAACCAAAGAAAGACAACTTAAAGTAGAGATAAAAAACAAAAAAAAATTGACAAGGAAAAAATTGAAACAACGTGAAAAATAAATACAAACTTGAATAAATAGATACCAGTGGAATATAATTAAAATTAATTACCATTGCAACCCATGGTAACTTTAACTGGCTCAGCAAGCTCTTCAACACCCTTGAGCATCAGAGCTCTGGCCTCCACTCCAAATCTAATGTGCACAGTTTTTGCTCCAACCCAAATACTACCAATTTGCATTAAACCCACCAAAACACTATATTAACACCCATCAACTACAGAATTTATTATGTGAAAACATTAAATTTATGCATAGAAGGTCAAACATGCCCATAAAATTCAATTCCAACAATCACCAATTAAATTAACGAAAAATCCAAAAATACGTAGTTAAATTGAGTTTAAGAATGACAATAGATTCGTGGTAATAGAAACTACATTCACAGCAAAAAATTGAAAACTATTGAAAAAAAGAGGGGATTAAAATACCTTATTTCAATCAGCAATCTCTTTCTCAATCTTAGACGCCAGATGACGAAAATTTCGAATCCTGCAAAAAAGGTTGGTTGATAAAATTAGAGGAGAGAATAATAGAGAGAAAAAACGGAAACATGACAACCCATAACCCGAAAATATAATTCAAACCTGAGGTGTATTCCATGGGAGGTTGCGTGGAAAAATGAAGGAGGAGTGGTTAGTTGCGTGAGATATGGAGAAGTAGAAGGCGTGTGGGAATTTTTGACGAATTTCAGGGGATTTTTTTTTTTAAAAAAAGGGAAATTTTTGATGACGATGGAAAATTGTGACACATGTGTGAGATTTGCTTAGCCTCTTTTAATATATAGTGATATTACACAAAAAAGTCAACAAAATGTTGCTGGTTCCAGTGAATTGATTACTTGTTCTTATTAGTTGAAGTACAAGGTTCAATTCCTCGGCTCCGAAATTTCAAGGGAAAACTTTTGAAACCCAATCACCGATCAATTGAGCCGATTTTTAATCAAAAATCACTAGTTGCCTCGAATTTGACTGGGCTAGTTGCATTTCGATTATATGACCTCACCTTGCTTTGGTCATCAGGTTTCCAGGTCGAACCGGATTTTATAACAATGATTCATTTTAAGTTGGAGTAATTGCAACTTGAAAAATTATTAAGAATGCTTCTGTAGTTTCATTAGTATCTTTTTCGGGCGGATTTTTATTTTCTATCAGAAAACAGAGAAAATTATAAATATAACTAATAAAAATACATAATTTGTGTAAAACTGAAAATGTAAAAAACTTATGTATGTGATGTAGTGATCAGGACTCGCTTGAATGTTAATTTATGGGGAAATAGACGAATGAGAGAGAAAAAAAATTTAAATTTTTAGACGGTAATGAAATAGTAATTGAATTTTGGAGAAAAAAGAAATAATAAAAAATAATATTTAAATTGTTACATAATGTAATACAAAATTTTTATTTTCAATTACGGATATTTTGGTCCATTTAACTATTTCTAATGTAAAAATTTATAATTTTTAAGCAATTTTTTTGTCACCACACTATAAAATATGTATTGAAGTGTAAATACACCAACTTTAACTTGAGATTTTAATTTGATTTTAATTCATACCAAACAAGAGCATAGTATTGAAGTGTAAATACGCCCTAAACAGAGGGTCTACTTTGTAAATTTCAGTATTTCTTAATATATATATTTCCCACTAGTTTCGATATATTAGCCCATGTTTAGTTTCCATTGTTTTAAAACTCTTTTTGATACATAATCATTTTCAATTACACGTTCACACAATAAAATATGCTGTACGCAAATCCAAAAAAATCATTCTTTTTAACCACTCATTCTTCTAAAAGCACTATTCAAAATTCCTTTTTTTTTTTTGAAATAATACTGAATTATCCAAAATGATTGAGAAAAATGTTTGCTAAGCTTAAAAAGCAAAAAGTTACCATATACATAAAAAGAAAAATTACTTTCCCAGCTAATTTTTACTTTGCAGTCAAACTAAGTTTTAATTTTTAGCAAAAAAACAGAAATTATTTATTTTAAAAAAACTTTTTAAGCTTATTCAATTAGACATGGGAATTATAAATAATACAGTTGAATGCAATGTGTCAAAAGCACCAATGCTCTCAAATTAAGCTCATGTTTAGTGGGAATTAAAATAAGATTTTTAATAAATTTAAATAAAAATTGATTAAATGTGTGATTAAAAAGTTATAAATTTCATGAAATATATAATTAAAATTATTTTTAAATTAGATTTTAATACCTACCGACTAAGTAGTGGTGGCAATGGGCCAAGCTGAGCCGGCTCCACCCATCTACCAACGAGCTCGGCTCGTCAAATTGACGAGCCGAGCTCAAGCTCAAGCTCGTTCGAGCTCGGCTCGGCCCACGAGTTCGTGAGCTCATGAGCCGAGCCGAGCCGAGCCCACGAGCTCGTTGGTTTTTTTTCTCATATTTTTTAGGAGCCCACGAGCCGGCTCGTCTTAAAATTCGGTTCGTGCTCAGACTCGTCTTTTTTACGAGCCCGAGCGACTCGTGACTCGTTTTTGACGAGTCGAGCGGCTAAGCCTCGATTTGGTTGCCACCCCCTTAACCTAAGATAAACAAAAGCACGTGGTGGGGTCCACAATTTGGTTTCAATGGATGCATGTGGAAGCTTGTCAATGTGCATGTGCACATATCAAGGCAAGCATGAAGAATCATATATATATATTCCTTTTTTTCAAGATATTCATGAATGTTGCAAGGTGTCATACATTGTTTAGAGACATGACAATTCATTTAGTTAGATTATATTTTTCAAAAGTTCAATTTTTATATAATTTTCGTGACAAGAGTTAGATTCAATAATTTTTTGAATTTTATTAGAGGGGCAATTTTATTATTAGAATGTCACGAGACATTACATGTGGTGTTTTTGTAGTTGATTTATGTTGTATCATTAAATAAAAGGGCCAAAAGACAGTCGACACGGGGCACCCAATCTGGGCCGAAATTGGCAAACATTCATTACATGTGGCCATGCACATGCTTTCGGAATTATGTCACACCATGTTTATTCTATCTTAATAAATTATCCTTTTTTTTTTTTTTGGAAGGGAAACATATTAATGTAGATAAGTGTGATTAATTATTATATGGGAAAAAGGGTTTGAACTTTGTTCTTTTAAGTTATTCTCTTTAGTGCTTATAATTGAAAAAACTTTCTTTAGTTTTAAATGACTTTAATATGTTTATTTGCGAAATTTTTTTTTTTTGATGAAAATTCTACAATAAAAATGCCGATCTTGGTAAAATTAGTTCAGGATCGTGGGATTTTTTCCTTTCTATTTGAGTTGAATCTTTCAATTGATAACAGATTAAAGAATCACGACATTTATAGCGTGAATTTAAAGAAGATTGTGTTAAATATGACCATTATAAAAATATATTAGATGAGGAAGACATCAATAAGATTTAACATAGCATAATTGTAAAATATTTTAATTTTATTAGCCATTACAAGAATTATTGGGTTAAAGTAGAACCTCTCCTTCGAGAAGCGATTGATGACCTCGTGACTAATATTTTAGAAGGTTCCTCCAAGTCTCATGAGTAGGCTGCTACTTCACAAGTCAAGATCAACATTGGTGAAAAAATTGGAGCCAACATTCAAAGTGATATGGATTTTATCGACCTCGGGAATTAAGCGATTATTGTTCAATCGGATTCGAAGTATAAGATAAAGACCACCCTTCTATGACTCCACTGAGGAGTTCAACGATATTCCTTGTAGCTCAACTCCAAAGTCCCCCTCTCAATATGACTCTTTTAATTAGTCTTACGGAGAAATGTAACGTGTACATACTATTTTGACCGACTATTTCACAGAATGTCAGTAGCAAGAGGTCGTTGAATTTTGGACAAAAAATAAAGTTAAACCAGCTAATGAGGTACTTTTATCTTAGCACCTGTAAATTCATCTGTACAAGTAACATTTTTTAATCTTACAAGTACATCAAAAGAGACGCTTGAAAAACAAAGATTCCCTTAAATTTGACCAAATTTTGCTGGAATTATCTCTTGTTTTGCTCAAAGTAACATCAATAACACATGTAATGACCTAAATTTTATTGAGAAATCATTACTTTGTTTAATCCATACCGAAATGGTATTTTTGTCCTAATGCCAGCCATGCATGAAAAATCAACCCTTAATATATGCATTTTACAGCTACACCAAATTATACAAAAACTCTATAATTTTCGTAATTTTCTATACGAAAATTGTAACCCATTCCTTACTGTCTCTCCTTCTCTCTCACACACGATTTTCTTGCTATATATAGGCGATTTCCTCGCGAAAATGACTGTCAATCCATGCACAATATGTCTTTCCCTAACCCTTTTCGTTCAACCTCCAATTCCGGCGATCAATCTAATGAAAATCCATCTCCTTACGTTCCTTTGATTGACGCCGGCAGGGATCCGACCAGAGCTCCGGCTAAAAGCCGTCGTCGTCCCTCTAGAGTCGTCGTCCTCTTGTTGGCCGGGCTATTGGCTGTAGCATTGTTGTTGGCTGTGGCTTTGAATTATAAAGGAAATGGAGATGAGGATTCCGCCACGAATCGGCCAGAGAATAAAATGCCTTCAGTGGCGCGTGGAGTCGAAGAAGGGGTGTCAGCCAAGTCATTTATTCCATTGTTGGGATCGGCAAAATATTCTTGGACTAACAAAATGTTGGATTGGCAGAGAACTGCTTACCATTTCCAGCCAAAAAAGAATTGGATGAATGGTAATTTTCTTTTCATTTTTTAGATATTTCTTAAAATTTATTAACGCCCATTTTTATCTTCTGAATTTTTGCTAATATGTAAGATACGAAAGTAAAGAATATATTAATGAATTAAAGAATGAGGTAAGCAAAGTTCTCGATAAATTTGAGTTGGGTAGGTAAGTTGTTTCGTATTTATTACTACAGATATCTTTTGTCCGCATCGTGTTGCTAATAGATGTTCCAAAGATATACATACACGTTCAATTCTTGTTTATTAAATTCACATGAATTTTCACAAACATTTTCTTCAATGTTTTGATGTAATCACATGTTATTGCAATTTTTTATTTGCGTTGTTTAGTCCACTAATGTGTTTCTTTGTGTTTGGTTGAATATGTGGATGTCATTGCTTTATTGGGGGCACCGAATTTTGGTTTCTTTTCATTCAGATCCTAATGGTAAGTCCATTAATTTCTACCACTCTATTTAATTTTTCAAAAAAAATGATTTAAATTAATGTCTTAACTCATATGAAATACTATAGGTCCATTGTTCTACAAGGGATGGTACCATTTCTTCTACCAATACAATCCATATGGTGCTGTATGGGGCAACATTGTTTGGGGACATGCAGTATCAAGAGACCTTATCCACTGGCGCCACCTTCCGATCGCCATGGTTCCCGATCACTGGTACGATATCAATGGTGTCTGGACGGGGTCCGCTACGATTCTTCCCGATGGCCAACTTGTCATGCTCTACACTGGTTCAACCAATGAATCAGTGCAAGTCCAAAATCTTGCATACCCTGCTGATCCATCTGATTCCCTGCTTACTAATTGGATCAAGTACTCCGGGAACCCTGTCCTGGTCCCACCACCCGGCATTCATTACAAGGATTTCCGAGACCCCACCACCGCGTGGTTGACCCCAGAGGGCAAGTGGCGCATCACCATTGGTTCTAAGGTGAACAAAACTGGCATTTCATTGGTGTACGACACTACAGACTTCAAAAGCTATGAACTCCTGGATGGAGTGCTCCATGGTGTCGCGGGTACGGGCATGTGGGAGTGTGTGGATTTTTACCCGGTTTCGAAGATCAAGGAAAACGGGTTAGACACATCTGAACATGGTCAAGATGTGAAACATGTACTCAAAACTAGCCTTGATGATGATAGAAATGACTACTATGCACTAGGAACATATGATAGTTCTACTGCAAAATGGACTCCTGACAATCCAATAATCGACGTTGGTATTGGATTAAGGTACGATTATGGAATTTTCTATGCATCAAAGACATTTTATGATCAAGAGAAGAATAGAAGAGTCTTGTGGGGTTGGATCAAAGAGATGGATAGCGAAAATACAGATATACAAAAGGGTTGGTCATCAGTTCAGGTACGAGGTTTATATGAGAATTCGATTCTTATCATCATTGATTCTATTACTATCTTAACAAAATGTGAATTTGAAATATTATGCCTTATCATATCAGGAAAAACTATTGAATCTTATGTTTAATCATGGATTAGAAATATTGAAAAACATTAACATTTGACGTTCTGGACATCATTTGTATTGATGATATTTGTCTTTCACAACATAGGCTATTCCGAGGACAATTCTGTTGGACAAGAAAACCGGTAGTAACTTAGTACTATGGCCAGTTGAAGAGGTGGAGAAGTTAAGATTCAAGAAGAAGGTATTCGACAAAGTGGAGGCCAAAGCCGGTGAAGTGGTGCCGCTGGAAGTTGGCTCTGTCACTCAGGTATGTATCTCATTGGACTTAGCTAGTGAAACTATAATAAAGTGAATGTTCGGTACGCATTGCTAGATAGTACTCGACATTGTAAAAGAAAATTTCCTAACTTATCCTAATAATTTATTACTATTAATATCATTTGATCCAACTTATGGGAGCCTGCAGGCTTACAAAATTATTGTTGCAATTTTCAGCTAGATATCGTGGTTGAGTTTGAAGTGGATCAGAATGCCTTGGATAGCATAGATGGCGCTAATACAACCTACAGCTGCAATGCCAATGGTGGGGCTGCTGAAAGAGGCGCGTTGGGACCATTCGGTTTATTGGTCCTCACCGATAATGACCTAACAGAGCAAACTCCAATTTACTTCTATATTTCCAAAGACGCTGAAGGAAATTTCAAGACATTCTTTTGTGCTGATCAGTCAAGGTCATTCTTGAATCCATCGAAAAATTTATCATGTTTAATTGATTTGTCTAGACAAAAGGACTGAAAGTGATAAATTTTGTCTGCGATAGGTCGTCTAAGGCACCGGATGTTGACAAGGGAATTTATGGCAGTACAGTACCAGTACTAAAAGGCGAAAAACTATCTATGAGAATACTGGTAAGTTTAATTCCTTGATCACGTTCCCGAAATTTTGATAACAAAACTTAGAATTAGTACTAATAGTGAAAATCTTTTTCTCAATGCAGGTGGATCACTCTATAGTCGAGACCTTTGCTCAAGGTGGAAGGACGTGCATCACCTCACGTATATATCCAACAACAGCAGTCGGTGAAGATGCTCGGCTCTTCCTGTTCAACAACGCCACCGATGCAGGAATAACTGCATCGCTTCAAATATGGCAAATGAGTTCTGCATACGTGCAATGATAAACTGCGACGCGATATTTTAAAAATGTTATATCTTTGCCATTTTAGTTCCACATTGCTTTCCCCTGTTGTACCATAGTTACAACTATTTCAAAATTACTCGATAATAAATTCTGGATCGGCTTTAATTTAATCCATATTTTAAGGCAAAAACTGTTGTTCCTAAAAAGCCAGCAGATGGAATAAGAAGAAGAATCAAAGTATGAAGAGATTATTCTCCCTTTGACAAGCTAATAGTAAAGAAGAAGATTTTGCTCGATTAGGCCATGGTACACTGTCTACCATCAGTTGCTCCTGCATGGATTAGCTTCCCTAATTTACCCACATTTCCTTTCGAAAAATCTGCAATTTTTCATTTAGCAAGGTGCTATTGGCGATCAAAGGGTGTGTGTGTGGAAATTGGTTTTTTAAAAGAACTCCAAAGAGCAGTATGGATTGAGTTTGAAGATGATTGAGGGGATAAAAGCATACCCATTATTTTTCCATTTAAATGCTTTTTAGATAAGGAAAATATAGAGAATGGAGAAGGAAAGAACACACTTTTTGCATTTACTGTCACTTTGGCTACTGAACTTTATTTTGTTTCAGACTCATTATTGGTCTTTATATAAAAAATTATTTAGACTATTACAGTCAGTTTGATTGGCAAAGGTAGAAAGAGTAAGTAGGAAAATAAAAACCTAATTACCCCATAAAAATGCATTTTTATGAAATTGGCAAAAAAACAAGTTTAAAGTGGTTGTACTTTAAAATTCGAACTCCATTTTCACTTCGTATCAACCAGCTAAATTGAATTTATCAGATGTGACATTTTTCATAGATTTTAAACCAATCAAACGGACCTTTAGTTCAGTTTGACGTCCATTCCAACCAAACCCACCAATTTTTTGCACACCCAATAGCTACAGTATTTTAACTAAATAACCCAACCCAAATCTCATATCCCAAATTCCCAATCGTCATCTCTTCAAAGTTAAACCTTTCGAATTCGTACCTCAGTTCTTCTCTCATCGACTCCATACGACTATGAAGGTTTGTCTGTATTTTTTCTTGCTGGTTTTGTAATTCATAATTTTAGTTCTATTTAAATACCTTAGGCTGGAGAATCTGGTTTGGGTAATTGGGTGGAGGGTTTTTTTCATTTGTGGGAATTGGAATAATGAATTTTTGCATTGCATTGTATTGTATTGTATTAGATAAGTTATTATCAAATAGTTGATTTTGTAAGTAAATAGCAATATCTCTTACATCTTGTCTATTTTTTTAAATTTTTCGTTTCTTTTTCTTCCCTTGCTTGAATCTTAAATCTGTGAATTAATTTCAAATTCATTCAATTAAAGCTTACTGTCCCCTTAGTGTCTTTACACTGCAAATTAATTAGTTCTTTGAAGTCGAAATCTATATGAGTTAGTCAATTCAGATTATTTTTTTCTCAATTTCTGGTTTTCCAAATGTCTGGCGAGCACACCATGAACTAAAATGTCAGAGTCAGTCTGAATTTTTTTATAGAAATTTTTGTTTTCCATATTTCTTGATTTAAATTGTGAAGCTCACATTAGTGATCGCTCATTAGTATAATGATTTTGTCAAATACATTGTGACTACTATTAATGATTTGAATGTTATTGTTGACATTTATTACCCTTTCATGTGGATGTAAAAATGGCTTTATATGGAATTGAAGATGATTCTTGAAATTCTGTAACTAATTATTATCCGTTGTCTGTATTTCTAGTTCTTAATTGGAAATTCTTCAAGTTCTGCTCAGGAACAATATCACATTACTCTTCTACTTACACCTTGATTATCCCAACTAGTTCTTATATCCCAGTTGATTGTTAAGCACATATAACTTTTGGTTGTTGTTTATGTTTGCACTATATTATTGTTGCCTTGTTTCATTTTTTCTTTCTACTATTTTTAGTATTTACTGAAGGTCAACATTCATCGAAGAGAGTAAAGACAATATTTTCATTCTTTAAAAAGATTGGCCAACCTAGTGAAAGTACGTCTCCAGAAATTGAACATCCGCCAGTATCAAATCCTATGCAACATCCTCCAATTTTTTGGCTCCAGGATTTGAACATTCGTCAATCTCAACTCCTGAATTACAATCATGTACTTGTATTGAATGGGATCCCGAAAAAAGAAAGCAAATGTTTGAACATCCTACCAATCTAAGAGATGAGATTAGAATTGCATATATAAAAGTTGGATCTTATCAGCTGAAACTTTAACGAGCATCCAATGATAGAAGAAAAAAAAAATAAGCTCGTCGCTTTCAAAAAAAATGGTTTATTGAATTTTCTTGGTTGGAGTATTTTTCTTCAACTGAAGGGTATATTGTTTTTACTGCTTTCTTTTTCAGAAAGATAGTGATTTGTCTAGCTGTTCGGGATTGGTTCCAGAAGGATATAAAAATTGGAAGAAGGTTAAAGACGGAAATAAATGTGCATTTCTTGTTCATGCTAGTACAACATATCATAAACCATGTGAGGCTAGAGCTAAATATTTAATTAGACCGTCTCAACATATTGACAAAGCAATGAATATTGAATCAGAAGAGAAAATTCGAAAACGTCGTTATGTATAATGACTTCAATTAAAAGTATTCAATGGCTAGCATTTCAAGGGTTAGGGTTAGGGTTTAGAAGTAATGATGAATCTCCATCTTCATTTAATCGTGGGAATTTTGTACAACTAATAAAGTACGCAACATATTTGAATCCAGAAATTAGTAAAATTGTTTTAGAAAATGCACCACAAAATGCCTAATACATTGCTCCAACTTTTCAAAAAGAAAACTTGTATATTATGGCCAATAGAGTATGACGAATGATTCAAGAGGAAGTTGGGGATGAATTCTTTTCAAAAAGAAATTTTGCATAGTATCGCCAATAGAGTATGACGAATGATTCGAGAGGAAGTTGGGGATGAATGCTTGTACATTCTTGTTGATGAAGCACAAGATGCATCTAATCAAGAGCAGGTAGCCGTTATTTTGTGAATAGTTATGGCAGTTTGATAGAACATTTCTTTGCAATCAAAAGAGTTATTGATAACATGTCATCGGATCTCAAAAATGAAATATGTGTTGTTCTTGCTCAACATAAACTTCAGGTGAATAAAATAAGAGGACAAGGGTATGATGGTGCTAGTAACATGCGCGGTTCTTGGAAAGGACTTCAAACATTATTTCTTAAAGATTGCCAATATGCATACTATGCCCATTGTTTTGCCCATCGATTATAGTTGACATTGGTCGTGGCAGCTAAAGAAGTCCGTGTCATTCGGAATTTCTTATTGTCCATATTATTACTTCTTCTCTTAAACGAGTTACTAAGTTATAATCTTCTCATAGAGAAGAAATTCATTGTATGTTGGCTATTGGGGAGTGTGAATCTGGAAGTAGGGCCAATCAAATGGTTAATTTTCAGTATTATGATTCTATAAAGAGTTTGATAGATATGTATGATGCAACCTGTTCGTGTGAAATTAACAAACGTACGAGATTGTTGACAAGTAATAGAATTGATAAGTTGAGAGTTATCGTCCCACAGTGAATAAATTCAATCCAAATTTACTAATTATTTATGGAATTCGAATTGTGTAAACAAAAGAGAGTTTGATTTTTTTTTTTTTTATGTTTAATTAATCTAAGAAAGCGGTAAAAATGCAGTTTTTATCAATTTATGAATGATTGTATTGGATCTCGAATCCGCCTATTGCTATCTATTTCAATTCTTGATTTGTAATCTAGTTTTGTTCACGCGTTCTTGACAATCGATAAAACTATGATATATAATTTTCTTTCCACGACAAATTAAATATATTCTAGTCCTGACCCAAATCTATTCCTAGTCTGAATTCAAATGATTATAATGCATTAAAATTTAGATTATCTATATGATTCCACGATAAATGTTATTCATAACATTTATTGCACATATTTTAATTTAGTAGTTTCCTAAATTTATTGTGAGTCTCCCAACACTACAATAAGTAACTAAATATTTAATTGGTGGTCAATCAATTAAAAAATTAACTGAGTATGCAAAATTAATTCAGAAACACAAAAAATAAACTAAACTACTAGTCTTAAGTTAAAACAAATAAACAATAGGGTTCATCTTCATCCAATATAAAAGCGGATATACCTTAGCATGTTAATATATAAATTACAAGAAGAATAATAGAAAAATATCACCCGAATCATGAAATAAATCAAAAGAAGTTAATCTTCAAGCCCATGGTTGAATTTTTCAATTTTTGATCATCCAATACAAAAGCGGATCTAGCCTAGCATATTAATATATATAATACAAGAAGAATAATTGAAAAATTTCACCCGAATCATGAAATAAATCAAAAGAAGTTAATCTTCAAGCCCATGGTTGAATTTTTCAATTTTTGATGTAATTGACCTTCAATTCCTTGCTATGGTTTGATCTCCTCTATCAAAATATAGCAATTTACCTCTTGATAAATTTTATGAAACTATGATGCATGAAGAGGCAAGAGAGAGTTTTTTTTAATGTGTATCCATCGTCTCTATTTATAAGAGCTAGAAATTAGGTCAAAATTGCGTCCAATTTGGTTTCCAAAAAAGTTTGAATCGCGAAATGAAACTAAAGATTCGTCTGCGAAAAATTCTCGTACATGCGCACCGGTATAACATTTGCGTGTGCGTCGTAGAATCAAATGATTCTCGGGTTGGGAAAATAAGGTGTCATGCGCGTGTGCGCCATGAATTGCCCCCCTTTCCCTCCGTGCATGTTCATCTCGGAGCGGTTTTCGGTATTTTGATCATAACTTTCTCTACAGGTATTTAGTTGAGCTGATTCAAAATGATTTGGAAAGGTAATTTAAAGCGCTACAATTCTTCTAGAAATACAATGTTTCCATTTCAAACGTTTGCTATCCGACAGATGGGTCTTAATTTGAGAATAAAAATTCACAGCTTAACTTTTTCGGCTGGAAATTGATTTGTGAAAATATTTCCACTATATTTCACTTATTTGACCTCCAATTGCATCCAATTGATCTTATATTATCTTCAATCATCGTTTTGTGCTCCGAATTAATTATTGAATGTTTACACTTTGGTCCCCAAACTTTGGATTTCCGTCGTTTTCGCACGTTTTTCGTTCCTTTCGTCCAAATCCACCAATTTGCATGGAATTCAACCTAACAAACACGATTAACACAAAATTAAATTATAACACATTCAAATCAGAAACAAATACTCTAATTTCATTGCCTACACTTATCACAACCCGCAAAGTGCTTGAATAACGACAGATCTCAGGCTAAAGCACATGGTGCTTACAAAAAATTGATGAGTTTTAAGTTTATATTTGTCTTGCATTTGATGCATAGAATAATGACAATTATTGATGTTTTTGTGAAACTCTTCAAATAAGATTTCAAGATATCTTGGCTGTTTTGAGGTTTGTGTTTATCGCTAAACAATTGCTTCAAAAATTGAGAGATGATGACTAGGAAGAATTTCTTCAAGAAATAAAAAAAAAAAATTCTCAAGAAATGATATTACAATACCCGATCTAGAATGTTTGTATAACAGTGGTCGTTCTAGTGATGGAACTACATTTGAACATTATTATCACTATGATGTTTTTAGTGAAGCAATAGATTTTGTAACGATGAAGTTAAATACAAGATTTAATGGCATATCAATAGAACTTCTTTCTCTCAGTGTACCTTTGGATCTTAAAAATTCATTTAAATCATATGATAGTCATAAATTTCGCACATTTGCTGAAAAATTCTCAAGATTTTTCCAAGCAAGATATTATTACATTGGAATACGAATTACCACATTATGAGTTTGATATGAAGGGTGAGTCCAGGTTTCAAGTATCTATACTTGTTGAGTTATGCAGACATTTGATTGAGAGTGGAAGGTCGAAGACTTACATTATCGTGACTAAATTGATTCGTTTTGTATTGACATAATCTGTTTCTACTGCAAGTACAGAGCAAGCATTTTCAGCAATGAAACATGTGGAAGACGACATAGATTCATTTTGTATTGACATTATCTGATTGTATGATACTTTTTATAAAAAGAGAACTTGCTAAGAAAATAGATTTAGATTCTATTATATGAATATTATGTTTCAAATCCTCGTCAGGAACGACTTAAATAAATAATTGTCTTTAAAGAGTTTTTTAGTACATAAATTTTATTACATTCACCTTATTAAATACTTCAAGTCCATCTTATACAAAATCCCGAATCCTTCCTTGCAACATGGCAATTTTCTTACTTTGAAAATATTGTGTTCAACGCTAATACTGAAAAAGTCCCCCCCCCCTCCCCCCTCCCCCCTTTCGAGTTAAATGTTTCAATAATTACGCAACTTATATCATGTTCAAGGTTTACCCACTAACTTTTAAAGTGTTTCATACTACTCGCTAAATTTTGTCCGTTTGCAATGCAGTCGTTAAATTCCATTTCTCCCATTACTGACATGTTAAAAGAAAATTTCATGTGACAAGTTACGGCTGTGATAAGTGCGGGTTTTTGCACTTATTCGGACCATTAAATTTAGATATTCGTGAATTTTCATTAGCAATTTATTATTAATTTAGTTATTTTTATGGACCATGATGGTTGTACAACCGAGGTTGACAACCACTCACATGGGAGGGTCCACTTTTTTTTTTTTGAATTTTTTAAGCATGCGACCCCCGAACACATGTGAGATTGTCAATCGACGTTGTCAACCTCGATTGTACAAGCAGAATTATCCTATTTTTATTGTGAAGGTGAAAACTTGAGTTTGGATGATGATTAGAAGGAATTTACGCGAGAAATGAGTAAAAAGAACCAAAGACGCAAAAATTTAAAAGTTTGGGGACCAAGATTATCACTTTTTGAAAGTTGGAGGACTTTCCGTGCAATATATTGAGAATTTGGCTACAAATGTTCAAGTCAGTTTATTTTACAGCAAGTTGGTGCCTAGGCACCACTGTAGCAGCGCCTAGGCGCCACTTTAAATGGCTAAAGGACCTTTTTTTTTTCAAAAGTTGGGGGGCTTGGGCTGCAATTTGGCATTGCGTTTTAACTTTAAAAAGGTTCAGCCCCTGGGAAAAAAAAGGGCAGCAACTTTTTCTCTTCTTGGTGGCTTTATTTTCATTTCTGCTCTTCTTCCTTTTTCTTCTTCTTTTTTTTTTTTTTTCCTTTGATTCTTTTTGGTACTTTTGGGGTAAGATTGGTGTATGGTGATGGTGAAATAGTTTGGAAAAGAATATCCATTGATATTGAA